AGATTATTCCGTAATTTTTTTGAGATTATTCTCTCTCTTTTGTTAAATTTAGAATCACCCCTGTGAAAACATTATTTTATTATAAAATATGGTAAAATATTGAATTGACATCTCAAATGAATGAGTTTCAATACATTTTTTTTTGTCTTTATTTTATGAAGAACATCTAATAAATTTTTTTTTTTATTTGTTATGTTTCTGATCTGATTACTATCTAATATATTGTTAAAGTAAAAAGCTTTACGGTGGCAGAACCATCGGGAGCTATTCCATTACTTAAAAGAGGTGGTGTGGATTTTTGGGATAATTGGGAAGTGATGCCCATCGATCATAATGAGGATCATGCTGACATCTTTGATAAAGAAAAAATAGAAGTAGTGCAAAAAGAGCAATTAATGTATGGCATTAAAAATTTTCAGGATACATCAGTAGAGATTGTAAAAATTTTTATACCATCTCTAGAAATCTATAATGGTTGCCATGGAGATATTGTTTAATTTAGTAATAAAGTAAGAGAATGGTATTCAACACTAATTTATAATTCAAAGTTCGAAATTATTAATTATAAAACTGAATTTGGTGCGGGTGAACAAACGATATTTATTTTACTAATGGGATAAGACATAAAAGATTACTTTGACAAAAAAAAAAGGGACAACCGTCAAAATTTACATTGGAAGATTTTAAGGCTATAAGTTTAACTTTCGAATGCGTTTGAATCACTGGAAAATGTATTTAATAATAATTTTCAAAATGTTAAAGGTAAAATTACATCAGAAGATTTTTTTCGGGGTTGCTGATAGTTTGAACACTGTTGGTGAAGAGAAAAGCCTTAAAATGGAAAAAAAAAGACTTGATTTAGAGCTTAAAGAAATACTCACAGACGTAGAAGTCAAAAGAAACAAGGTAAAAGACTTTGAAATTGTTTCGACAAGCTTGAAGAGAAAAATTCTAATGGGTTAACTGAGTTAACTGAGGTTAACTTGGTTAACTTGGTTAACTGAGGTTAACTTGGTTAACTGAGGTTAACTTGGTTAACTGAGGTTAACTTGGTTAACTGAGCTTGATAAACATAAAGAATATAATTTAGGTAAATTTGAATGGGAAGAAAAATATAAAGCTTATAATAAACATTTGGAAGAAGAAAAAAATGCTGCCGCAACAAGTTGCAATAAATCTGAAAAGTCGGCGTAATAAAGCACAAAATGAATTACATGAATCTAATAAAATATTTAAAAATGCGAAAAAAGAATATCAAAATTTAAAGGCAAATAATGTATCAAGATTGAAGAAGATTATCAAGACATACAAATTAAGTCTTAAAATGCGTTTTGATAGAATTCGTGATAAAAAACAATGGTTGTTATGTGGGTTACTGATAGATCGTGGGCAGTGATTTTTGCAACTGCATTATTCTTATTCTTTATAATTGAATGATTTGAACAAAGGAGACACAATGTTAGATATAGAAGAAAATAAAATAACATCATAAGAGCGTATCCTGGAATTGCTGACACAGGAGATATTGCAAAACAAATTACAAAGCATTTGTACCCTTTAAACTCTTATGATCCTAATTTTATTAGAATATTAAGATCTTTACTGATTTCATATCTGTAACACTGTTAGAAAAATATTGTGGCATCTTAAGGTGCATTTTCCGAGCAAAATCATCACCTAAGGTTTTTTTTAATATTTTTTTCAAATGCCTTTTCTTGATACTGCTTAACTATATTATTATACTCATCTCCAAAACTTATGTTTTTCATTAAACATTTTTCTTTGTTCATCAGTGATTTAATGCATATTTTTTAGTCGAGCGACTGCTTCATTAGATCCCCCTTAAACTTCTTTAATTGCACAGTGCATTTCAGCATAATTCACACCACTTAAAACATCAATTTTTGGTTGTCCAATTTTTATGAATTCTATGTTTTTTAGATGTTTCTTTTTTTTGATATTTTTGCCCAATTTACTGTAAAAGCTTGCATTTTAATTATTGTTTTTTTTATTCAAATGTTTTTTATTCCAGCTCTCGTTGGAATTCCACTGCCATTGTTTTAAACGAATCAGTTTTTTTATTTATCATATTGACAATCTCTTTTTCTGTTTTAATTTGCAGAGACAACTCAGCAGCTACATCAGAATTCAAATACGACTTTATACTTTTTTTGTCAAGTTATGCGTTAATCACAACTTTTTTATTTCCATTACGAGGAACTACCGGCACCGTTTAAAGAGATATACAAATTATAACGTATTCTGAATGTAATGGGATAATTAACGTATGAGAGTTTTCTATTACTTCTTCTTTTCTTGGGTTCCTAAAGGAATTCTTTTAACTAGACGGTTGTGACTATATGTAAAGCCATTAATTCGACAAATTCTTGACTTTCTGCATTTTTTTTTGTCACCAAGTTCTTCAGTTCTGTTTGCTTTTTTAAAGTTTTTTACAACCACATCCAACATGTCGGCAAACCTTTCAACATTTCTTGATTGATTCTCCCTTAGGTTTGAAGTTGTTCAAATCATCCAAGTACATGAGGACTTTTCTCCTTGTTCCGCCATATTTTCTTTTGCGGTTTTTTTAGCAATTTTTTTTAACAAATGTTCAAGTCTTTTGATTGTTTTTAATGTATCGCCACATAAATATTCACTCAACAGCTTTGTCAATACATGCATTGAATAAAGCTTTCCAATTTTCGTAACACTATTTATCGTCGTTAAACATTAATAAGGAGACACGTTTAATTGTTTCCAGATCATGTCCAACTTTTGCAGTCTTTTTGTAAAAATTATTTGTTTTATGTTTTTTTTACCCATCTACTTCAATAACTTTGTTTTGTGTCTTAATTAGTATTAATTAATTACTCAATTCGCGTAACTTGTTTTTACGCGTAGGTTCATCGTCTTCGGGAAGCTGAATAATTTCACGTTTATTTTGCGTAAATGTAAACTTTAAAGCCATTCTATTCCTTTTTAATGCTGACTTTATATTTTAAATTGTTAAATGATTTTCCGTTTACAAATTAGACTTTTGAATTTATCTTTTTACCAATTTTCCGTGGCAAAGAAACTAACCTTTGATACCAGATGGCAATCAAAAAACAATACCAGTTGCGTAATAATACTTTATTTAAAAATCTTTTTTAACAGTTTAAATTTATTTCCAGCTAACTTTGAGTTCAGATGTTTTATAGTTAAATAAATTATTTATTAATTATCGCCTGTTATCTGGTTCAGTAGTAGTAAAAAGGGGGTTTGAGACCACCAAAAAGCACCCATACTTGTAAAAAATGGGGTCTGAAACCCTCTACCGGTCTATACTTTTAACCAATAAAGAAAATATCTGATACCTGTAAAAACTAAGGGTTTCTATACTGATCTATATTTTTAACCTTATAGAAAACTTTGAGCGCCTGACAGGTATAGAAATTTTTTTTAGTACTTGGATATTTTTCTGACACTCAAATAGAAATCATTTATGGGTACCCATAACCCAAGCATAGAAAACTTTCAGAAAAATCTTTTGACACTCTCAATGAAAAATTCTCTATGGGTACTATACTATTACGGCCACCATATAGAGAATTTCAGTCAACTACAGAAATCCTTAGTGCATGTAAAAAATACAAGTATAGAAAACTTTTTGACATCCACAATGAAAACGGACATCAAGGCGTGAAACAAGGCGAGACGTGAGGTGAGACAGGGTGCAAGCGGACACAGAACAACTTATGGTACCCTTCTATAAAAAATTTTTTACATATACTCAAAGAAAAAAACTTTTCGTAATCATATAAAAATTGAGCAAGTAGAAGATAGCATACCAATGTTATACCTCAACAATTAGATGATAGCATACTTATGTTATACCTCAGAGCAGGAATGTCATTAATTGAAAAAGTAGTTTTTTTTTTTTTTTTTTTTGTAGTTATTTAGGTGCTCCAAGAAGTCCTTAAGATAAGTCCTACGGTCTTATCACAGAGCGCCGCGCGAGAGCATTTAATTAGAAGTTCACGCCTCCTTGCGAACCAATGTCGCTTGTTGGTCTTGAGCCCGCCTCTAACCACTGCGCCACGGCTGCTCTGCTCAAGTTGCCAACTATTTTTTTGAACTAAAAAAGGCTGCTACAGAGGATTGGTGGACTCCAACTTTAAAATTTAAATGGAATTTAGTTCGAAAAGGTAACAATGAAACTTTTTGGTTTCAAAACAAATGTTGAGAAAGATTACTTTAGCGAGGACTGCGTTGTAAGCAATTTTTTTTAAATTCTGCATTTTAAGGACTGCGCTTTCTACTTCTTTTAAATTATCTCCAAACTGAATTTTAATAAAAGCATGAATTTCGCAATTGCGCGTACAAATAAGGAGTCATTCCATTCTATTCAATAGAGTGTTAGGTGTATCATATGTATATGGGATCTCTGGTTTGTATTTTGATAGTCTAATTAATTTAATATCAAAGTAATAATGCTTGATGCTTCAGAATAAAATAAAGAGCAAAAAATTACTACAAAATTTAATTAAATTTTTTTTTTTTAATTTAGAAATAAAATTATTTGTAGTTCTTTTGTGCAACTTTTAAACCATTGCTCTCAAGAAATCTGATAAAGCAGCACTTTTTCCGATCGAAACATTCATCTGCATAACATGTTCGAGCAGACCTTAATAACTGGCTTAATTTCGTGTGGATACGATAAATTAAACACATAAAAACACTTTAACAAAAATTCTACCGCATCACAAAAACAAGCTGCATCACGAACTTTAATGGCTCGAGCATCCAATTTGATATAATAAATCTTATTCAGACGAAAAAGCAAGGGTGGAAGGTTGTCAATACCAGCCCATACATTTTTTTGCAAAGAAGCAACTGCTTCATGGACACTCGTCTGTTCCTGTATGAATGAAAATAAATATAGATTTATAATTTATAAAACAATTATGATTGAGTGACAATTAAATGATTTCATTATTTTAAAAATGATTTAAACTTGCCTCATTCATATCTACAAACATCAGATTAGATACAACATCCCTCCCGACTCTTGGAGCTTTTAAACCTCGTTACGGTGGTGGTATTAATATGTGCGGCAACAGCAAGAACGATAATTCAGTCTTTTTGTCTACAAAAGATAATTAACTAAATTTTGTCTTATGTAGAAACTAGTAACACTTTAATAACTCTTAAAACTTGTATACCTTCATCATATTCATCAGATAGGTACGCTTTGGACATTAGCTGGATAGTAGAGTTATCTTTAAGTTTTTTTTCAGAGTTTAGCAGAATATTTTGACGAAAAGATAACCAAGCAATTCACAAAGAAAGAAATTCACATGCAATCGCTGCAAACTCCTTGTTTATCTAAAAATAACGGAATGATAATTTTTACATCTATTTTTAACATTTTTTAACAATACTAATAACGGTTTTTTTTTTTTTTGCAAAACTTTGTATTTGCAAAATTATTATTTTCGTTTTATTTTTATTTTTTCCCAAAATTTCATGGACGAGATATGAAATTATTCATGAAACTTATGAAATTTCATGAATAAGTATACTTACGAAATTTTATACTCAGTAATAAGTATTATAAATTTATTCTAATCCATCTATGAAAATTTATATAAAACTGTAGCAATATCAGGATGATCTGAAAATGATTTTGCTATAATATGTTTATACTTGGCATATTCCACTTCATTTAGTTGCATATAAAAATACATTTAACTTTTTATTATATTTTTTACTTATAGATTTATTTAAAAAATAAAGAACATACCACCTCATTTACATCAAATAAACGAGGGAATCTGTTTAACATGATTAGAAGAAATTGTAGTGAAATATATATTAACAAATGTTAACTAATATTAAAAAAAACAATTTATTTAAATAATTAGTAATAATTATATCCAAGTAAACTATAAAATAAAATATACCACGAATTCTATGCATAACTTCATCTGAAAGATTGCCTTTCAAGACACCAGTTTTAAAAGAATATCCTTTTTTTTTTTTTTTTTTTGGCAAAAGAAATTAAACTAAAAATAACAAAATGAAAATTGAAATTATTTATAATTTTATACATGTAAATTTTATAATTTGCATATGTTCAATTTTTATTTTAATATCGAACAAAAGAACAATGTTAATACTACTAATAATAACTAACACTGTATTTTATTTAATGTAATGCAGTATTATTACAAATTTATTTTATTTATAAATAATTTATTCTATTATTAATTAACAGAGTCTTCTGTTGTGTCAACCAATGAACGCATTGCTATTTTTTCTTGAGTTCATAGCAAACTTTTCTCTTCTTTAAATACTATAGATAGGCACTTCAACATTTTTTTCAAATTTTCAGAAAAAATTTAAAACCACAATAATTAGATAGAGTTTCAAATTCTCTTGAAAATGGTACCAAACATGTTAATTTATGATGAGTAGAAAAAGAGTTATGGAATTTAAAACCTTTGAAAATGATGTCAAAAATGAAAATTCAGGTATTTTCTGTGATCAAAATTTTTAAAACTTTAATGACTTTACGAAATTAGGAGCAATAACAATATATATATATATATATATATATATATATATATATATATATATATATATATATATATATATATATATATATATATATATATATATATATATATATATATATATATAAATAATTGCAGATCTCTTAAAAAATGAATTTTTCATCTCATATCGAAGACAACTCATTCTAACAAGAGGTTCATTTTTTATGATAATTGTAGGAAAGTGGACCAGGAAGTGATGTTTAAGACGCAACTTTGCTACTTTTCCAAACAAATCCTTAAAATCCAATAGATGATCAGATATAATAACTCTTAAATAGGCTATCATTCCTTTGGTAATTTTAGGAGCAAATATTAAATCTACAAGTTCACATAAATTTAACAAAAAAAGCCAGCACCCTACATCTTCAGGTACAAATCGACCAATAATCATAGGCAAATACTTAATATAATATAAAATATTATAATATTGGCAAATACATAAGCAAGGACCGCATTTGAACTGACTTCATTGAATGTGTAAGACCTCTTCCTGGTTTCTCAGCTTGGCAAATTGTGGATGGTCTTTTAGATTTTTCTATTGAATTATGATCAAAAAATTGATGCATGCAAGTGTTTAAATCCAATAATGAGAAATAATGTTTGATTTTTATTAAATAATAAAGAATGCAACCAAGTTCAAAAGGTACAACACCTTCTAGTAGTGTATGCATTGGATCAAGAGCAAAGTTTTCAACCACATGAAAACCAGGTATTTTATTCAAGCAGCAATTTGCTTTTACACCATGACTATGAGTTCTTAAAGCAAGCATTTCTAATGCTTTCAGATCATTATTATAAGAATCTATTGTTCTCATTTCAAAATCAGACTCATATGTTTTAAGTTGTATTGTTTCTTTGGTTGCTAAACATATAGTGCAAAAGAAATCTGCAAAGAAACATTCAATAAAACCAAACAAACCATTAAGAGCAAGATTATCACAAGAAACCTGGCGAAGACCTAAATATATCTGTTTAGAACCAATTATTTGAAAGTCCCCACTAAAGCCGATGGATTGCAGTTTTTGTATTTCACTTACAAACCGTTCTAATATATTATTGTAGCCATACACTTTTAAATCTTGACTATAACAAAGTGCCAACAAATGTATATTAGCAAAACAAGAGTTATGACTAGGAGGCAAATTTTGAATTGTAATTGTAACTCCAACATTACTGGTTGATGCATTTCCACGAAGTGGATTTGTTTTTCCCATACCATCGTAGAATAATTGAATCATTATAGAATACTTATCATTATTAATAAATAAATAATGCTTTTTACAGCGCTCTCCTTTTTGAAAACAGTCAGTTAAGTCATTATCTTTAATTTGATTAGTTAAAATCAGTTCTACAAACTCTTCATGACTGAATAAGCTGCGAAAATTGTTTTCAACTGACACATACTCATAGGTGTCATAGACTAATTTATTGACTCCATTTTTAACCTCATACCTAGAACCGATCGAAAGTGTTTCAGAATTTACAAAAAGAGGATGTTCAGCAAAATATTTATCTTGCTTGTATTTTCTAGAAAGAAAACCAAGAGGTTTTTGAACTTTTTTAAAAAGTTTTTCAATATTATTTAAAACACCTTGATTAACATTAGGCACATACTTTAACGACTCGAGAACTTGTTCATTTAAATAATTTACTAAACAGTCAGCCATATTATTGAAGGATGGAATGACACAAGAGATTATATTATGAGGTAAACAACTGTTTGATCTCAGAGAAGATACCAAATAAACCTTAGCCACAATATGAATGTCTGAAAGTATGAATCGCTTATTTTGATCTGCTTCTTCGTAATTACAAAAATCATCATTATAGCATAAACTGTTGGAATTATTGACTGAGTGACTTACTCCTTTCTCACAATGTGACTGAGAGTGATATTGATCCATGTGCCTCTTAAGATTCCACAAACTGCGAAATGAACTAGTACACTTGTCTTGACAACAGCGAACAGTCATTCTTAATTCACCAGCAGCTTCATGATTACGTAGATGACAGTATAGCTCTTTAACTCCAATAAATAATTCTCGACATAAATGGCATTGATACATTGAAAATAACTATGCAAGGATGTTTCAATATAAAATTTGAACTAAAAATTTGTACTTAAACCACGCTATATATTATTCAAAATGGCAGTGTATATCTATAACCTCAATAAATAATGTTGAATTTTATTTTTTAACAAAGTTGATTGCTGAAAAACCCGTTTCTCAACATTAATGTTGCGTTATAATCAATATATAATGTTGGAAAATCGACTCAACATTTTTTGTTGAGCGGTTTCTCAACATTTTTTTCAGTGTGTAAAATGTTAATAATTACTGATTTACAAAATAAGTATATAAGACAGGTTACTAAATATTTTCCTAAAAGGCCAGGCAACGTAATTGTTTCAGAAAAAATGGTTCAGGACATGATGAAATCCGTTCCTGCAAACGCTAAGGACAATCTCTTAACAAGCGGTGGTGATTAATGTTTATAAACCCCAAGTTGTTAGCATGGTTAAAAATAATGACAGCAATGCTATAACAAGGATTGCAATATCTTTAGAAGAAAAAAGAGTGCCTTATACCTTTGAAGGTAGAGTAAAATGTAAAGTGGCTAGAGTTTATGGTGAAAAAGTTACAAACCAAAATGTTAAAAAATTTATTTAAAGTGGTTGTAAATTGATGCCATAGTGAAGGTGGATAGTATTTGCTTTAGTCGCATGGGGATATCTATTCCCGATACGCTTCAGTTATTGTTGTTGAGAAAACATCTTATACAGATAACTTTTTAGAATCTGATTAAATATGAGATAATAAAGAATTATTTAGTTAGAATTAAAAAAATTTGAAAATGATATTGATTGTGTTGTTTTTACTAATGTGTCATGCATGTTTAACGAATAACCATGCGCTTACGCGTCATTCAGTGCATTGATTATGGGTTCAAAGTTGGAAGAAACAGTTGTTTGTGGTGAAACTTTTTAAATGAGTTCATGAGGATGACACTAAGTGTGGGATTTAAACAACTAACACTCCCGCTCAACTCATTAACTATTGTGGCGAGGTTCTTGGCATTATTTATGCTTTTTAAGCAGTATTACATTGTTACGCTTTATGACGCGTCGAGTTGATCAGTGACTTTAAAATTTCTATTTATATTCTCCTCTAGTGGTCACCTAAACGTATGAAATAGAAAACTAAAAATAACTTAAAAAATAGTGATCTCGCTATGATTGCTTAGCGACTTCTTGAACTTCTTTGCAAACAGGCTTTCAATACTGTTTTCACCCATATTCTTAATTTTATACGAAATTTTTTTAATACTATATTTTTGGTATAATAAATATAATAATGATATATGCTATATGTATAACATAAGTATGCTATACTCTAATTATTTTATATATTAGGCTGTTATTTCTAACCTGTTTATGTTTCATTTCAATTTTATGGTTAAGAATCTGCTTGTATAACTCTTGTCATAAATCTTTTTTCAGGACAATGGTGTTAACACCTTTTTTTTTGTTTTCTCCACCGGCTTCAAGGACAGAATAAATTTTTAGCCGTAGACCTGCAAATTCTGAAACGAATCGGTCTTTGCACTGGTCTATCATTCTACCTTTTTAATACTCTTGCTGAAACATGAGCTAACCTTAAGATACTATTACTAAAATTGTACTGCTTGCTTTTTTCTTTCGTTTCTTAGTAAATATAAAAACAGTTAGATTAAAAAGCAATAGTTTTTTTCTATAAAAAAAATCACTTCTCTATACTTATATTGCTTAACATATTCAATTCCTTTTTTTGCACAATGTTCAGTAGGGCAGACCGGCTCGGTTTTTACTCCATGAGCTCTGTAGCCCTAACGGCACATTTTTGGCAACAATTTTAATTCAAAAATTTAATTATATTTTTAGCTGGTTCCAAATATTAAGTCGTGTAACAAACCAATACATTAGCCCACTTTTTATCTGTTAAAAAATACTCTTAATTTTTTTGTAAAAAACATTTTTTCAATATTTTTAAAATTAAAAAAAAAAAAATTAGTTTTATAAAAATATTATTTTTTTCCATAATAAATGCTATGAGCCAACTAGCCCCGTGAAACTTACCCCAAAAGCCTTTTTTTTTTAATAAACAGTCTATAGATCCCGAAAAACGACAACTATTGAAAAAAAATCTGACTGGAAATAGTAATCCAATTGTGACTTGAATTTTTACAATAATTTTTTTCATACGGCTTACTATTTACAGTATAAAAGAGGCGATGTTCCAAAAGTTATGTTTTTGTCTAAAAAACACATAAATCTTAATATCTTCCATGTGCATGCGCGAACTCTAACAATACTTCAGTGAATTCTAAAATGGTCAATTAGGAAGGTTCTATGAAATTTTTGGCACTTCTGGTGAAAGGCTTTGAAGATAAAGCAAGTTCGTTAACTTATCCCTACTGCCAACTAGCCCCGGTCTTCCCTATATAAGTCATACATTAATGACATATTCAACTTATTTTCAAGATATTCTTTTTTTTTAGTGCTCCTACAATAATGAGATTCAATAGGTGTAAACAAATTTATGTGAGTACGAACATCGTCCAACAATATTTGGGACGATTTGTACTTTATGCTTTCCTTTTTTCCTTTCAACTGGAACCTGTATTTAGATCTATTAAAATGTTGTGAAAATAATGTACTCTTGCTTGAGAAATGCATAAAATTCCTATAAAAAACTTTTTACAAACTCTGTGAATAATGGTGTGTTTTTCCAAAAAATATTCACAAGAATACTTTCTTATCAATATTTCTTGGAAAAAAACATTGATAAGAAAAACTGCATCTGAAACAGTTCTAAATCTTACTTTTTCATTCCTTTTTATAAATTTAGTATAAAAAACATTTTTCCTATTGTCATCTAAACTCCAAAAATATTTGAATATAAGTTTCCATATTTTCCGGGGTAATTTTTGATTCACAAGAAAAAATGCACTTTTAGCAATTACTTTCAACAGATTTTCTTTCTTCAACTTGAATTTATATTGTATTGTTCTTGAATTCATATAGTATTGATTCTCTTTTTTTTCTGTGCAATTCCTTTTCCACATATTAGTATGTTTTGTTTTCGAGTTTTCTTTATTCGTCCTTCACTAAAAAGATAATACAATAACTTAATTTGCATTATCAGATCTTCAACAACAACAGCAACGAAAACACTTGAGTTTTGTTTATATTAAATTTTACAAAATTATTATTATATTTTAAACAAATTTTTTATTAATTATTTAAAGATAAGTTATTTAAACCTTATTTTGTTAAATAAATAAACAAAATAATCACAGTTCGACTTGCGTTATAGAATTACAAGACATTTTGTGCAGTTTCGCAATCTGCCATCTTGAAATTGTCATTAAATTATTAAAAGAAAGCTTGATGAACAAATAAACATTAAATAATATTTCTGCTTTGGAGATTTTTTGTGACGCTTTATTTGATTAGTCGTTTTGTTTTGTAAAAAGTGGAGATAGAACAAAGTGAACTTAAATTGACACGTACCAGGCACATTATTACACAAATCAACAATTAAAATATAAAAATATTGATGCTTTGTTGACTGCTTTAGTATCATTTTGATTTTTTTACAAAATTGGAGCTAGAACAAGTAAGCACTCAGGTCGCGACTTGCGTTCGGAAAAGATATTTGCTTTCTCAAGTAGGCTTTTCAAGTCTAAAGGTGAGTTTCCTCTCCTCCGTTTTTTTAACGGGAACGGAAAAGGGGAGGGAAAAAAATCACGTGGACATGCTTAGTAAGTTTTAATTTGTCCGAAGAAATACTGATTTTTTCTTCCTTCCCTATCCCGTTCCCGTAGAAAAACAAATGAGTGGAAACTTGCCTTAACTTGAAATCCGCCGGTTTTCAAGTATAGCTTGAGTTCAACTTTGCTCTTTGCTTTTGCCCAAGTCAAATATCAGATTTGAAGAATGACTTCAAATTTCAACTTCTTGCATTCCGCCTTAATGTCTTTCATAATAAATCTGTATATTGTCAAGTTTCTGTTGATGGTTCCTGGAAAAGGCGTAGACAAAAGTTACTGAATAAGATTATTAGTGTAGTTTCAAAAGAAAATGGAAAGTGCTTTGATGAAAGCTTAAATGATGTTATTTGGAAATGATGTCCTAAGAATATATATGTTCGTAAAAGGTCTTTAAAATTATCATTGAAATGAGTAAAATGTTTTAAATTTTTAGGCGTAAATAATGGACGGTTTATAAATGAAGCAATTAAGTTACAAGATCCATTAAGTATATTAAAAGTAAAGCATAAATCTACCAGCAAAAGCAAATTATGGCGGCAGAAACGAGGAATTAAAAAAGATTTCTCAGATAAAGAAGCTGAAGTAAAACTAATCTACAAATAGATTTGTTTATTTTTTTTTAATTTTCGCAGTTTGTTCAAAATATAATGCAGCAGAATAATTATTTTTGCTTTTTTTTTTAAAGTCTTTATTTTTTTCATCACCAAATAAGACCTGCCCAGTAAAACTAAAATCTAGAATGGCAATGCCTAATAGTTCGGAAATATAATAGTTTTTATAACTAAGCTATGCCATAGCTTTGTGATAAAAATGTTGAAATTTTAATTCCTGATTATAGTTATAACTTCTTTGAAGCATTTTAATTTGATCTTTTATAAATTGTACAAATAATTTGAATTTTTTCGTCATTAATGAAAATAAAATTAGTCATTTAGTTTATAAATTCGAAAGTTAAAAAATTATAAACAAACAAGAAAACTGTGTAATACATAACATTGTTGTTTACGTAGTTGGAGCATGTTACCGAATTGTAATCCTATACAAAAATTAATATCGCATTAAATCAGGTATGCCATAAATAAAAGATTTTCGACTTTTACGGACATTTAGACGCCATCTTACTTGACAGTCCGAAAACTTGCATCAACCAATAGTTTGTCAATGAACGGGTGTGTTTATCGTTTAAGTTAGGATTTAAAATTTAGCATTCTAAACATTCACTCTTCTTTAAGATTTCATCTATTGCATTTGATATTTAAAGAAAGTCGAATTAAACTAGTATGTTCGTTTTTTAATATTAAAAGATTTAACTACAAATAATTTTTGTTTCCAATAAACATATAACGAAATATTATAAACATTATATTATATCATTGGCGTTTCTAGAATTTTTTGGTACTTGAGATAGCTAACTTCTGGACATGGAGCGAACTCCAAACTTTTAAATGTTTATACTTATGTCAAATAAGGATGCAAAAATTATGACCATATAAAATTTGAACCCCTTCAATTTGAGGGGGTAACAACGTTTATATGATCATAATTTTTGAACGATGAAAGATTATACAATGAAACTTAAAATTTAACGTTGAATATAAGTCTAATTGAGAAAAGTACAAAAAATATTTTATCAAATTGTTGCTCTCACGTTTGGGACAGGTCAAACTTTAGAGCTTTTTTTTCCCCGCGCTCCAATCATCGCAATTTGTTCAAAGCATCCTTATTTGACATAAGTGTAGACATATAATTATTTGCAGTTTGCTACATGTCCGGAAGTTAGCTATCTCAAACATCAAAAAATGCTAGCCGCGCCAATGACTATAATATACTATGTGTGAGTGTACTAAATGCACAGTTTAGTAAATCTGCAGCCCAGCAAGTGTAAAGAAATTTATTTTGTTTATTGCGCTCTCGTTAATGGAGACTTTTTAAACGTAAAGGAGTATTTATTGGCTTCAGTATATATAACACCTATCTTATAGCCTGCGGCCACAAGGGTGTTCTGTTACATTAAGTGTTTGGGATGGGCAGCAATCTATTTTTTTTCGTTATTGAATGAAGATTAATTTTTGCCCCATGCCAAACCCTAAGTCAATCTAGCAAAATAAATTATTTTAGGTCGCTTTACTGCATATTTACCCACAATTTAATAACTTTAAATAATTAATAATTTATAAATGTTTAAAATTTGTAATGTTAAATTGTGTAATTAAGTACACACATACTCAACCCACACACCACCCCATCCCCCACACCTACCCACACCTACCCATATATATATATATATATATATATATATATATATATATATATATATATATATATATATATATATATATATATATATATATATATATATATATATACATACATACATACATACATACATAATATATATATATATATATATATATATATATATATATATATATATATATATATATATATATATATATATATATATATATATATATATATATATAAACGTACCTAATATGTATATATATTAAGTACGTGACGTGAAATTTTTAATTTAGAAATTTTAAAATTTTAATTAGATTGTTATATATCGCTGAAAATTATCAAAATTAAACAATTCAACAAAAAGTTAAGGCATTTTTTGGTACCGAATTTTTGATATATGGATTTCTTGAAAAAACTGTGATCAAATTTTAACTTTTTTTAACTTAAAATGTGATAACTTGGTCAATTCTTATCAAAATGCATACAACTTAGTATCAAAAGAAAGGTCTAACAAAGAACAATATGTAAATAGAAAGGTGGTATAAAGGGCGCTAGAGGGGCGTCTGCAAAACTTAATTTTATTGTAAAATATAGATTTTTGAAAAGAAAATATTATTATTTAATTGAAATTTATAATTTTTATTTGTATTTTATAATATATTCTAACAGGGTACCATCAAATATGATTTGGACACTTTAGGTAGATTGAATAGAAGTCCTTTTTTGCTTCGGGCGCACCCTCTATAGCGCCAGCTATCAAATGTCAAATTTATTACTTTGTATCTTCATGCATTACTTCAAGATGCACAAGAGGATATTAGTTGAAAGCTCTCCACCCCTCAGATCTCTGGAAGGGTGGGTCATTACTCAAATATGTTTTTGTAATAATAAGTAGTATTTATATAAAACACAAAATGTCCATACAAAAATCAAACTCAAATATACAAAAACTTAATATAAAAAAAGATTATATACAAATATCAACTTAATAAATATACATACATACTATACATACACCTATCAATAAGCGTATATAGATTAACCTGAATGAATCTATATACTCTTATTACATACACCTATCAATAAGCGTATATAGATTAACCTGAATGAATGAATATACTCTTATTACATACACCTATCAATAAGCGTATGTAGATTAACCTGAATGAATCTATATACTCTTATTACATACACCTATCAATAAGATTGAATGAATGAATGAATGAATATACTCTTATTAATAAGTATATGTATAGTAGTTTATTACTAAATTCCTGAACTCTCTGCCATAACTTCTGCCACCAAAAGGTTTGCATTTAAAATGAGGCATGCCTTTACCTCCATATTCGGAAGGCCCTTTTTGATTTGAGCCCAGTGTGGCTCAAGGGTTAAAACTTTATACTGTTATAATTTTTAAACGCTAAAATATTTTACTATGAAACTTAATATTTATCGATGAATATAAGTCTAGTTTAGAATAGTACAAAAAATATTTTATCAACTGGTTACTCTCACGTTTGGGGCAGGAGGGCGAAAATTTTGGGGCTTTTTTGTTCCCAGGCTTCAATCGTCGCAATTTTTTGCAAAGCATCCTTGTTTGACATAAGTATAAACATATAGATGTTTATACTTATGATCCGCCACTGCATTTTATATAGTTTATTTTGTCACTGTTTTCAAGATGTACAAAAATATAAACTTTAATGATGTCAAGAATTATTTAAATAACAATACTTTTCCTGAAGTTGTGAATGAGAAAGGAAAAAAAGCAAATTTTAAACGGCAATGTAAAAACTTTGTTATTATTGACAATATGTTGATGTATTGCAAGAAAGGTATTGGCAAGGTGAGGAAAACTTATTTTATGGAAAGAATTTTTAATTAATTAAAAAGGTTTTACTTAAATAAAATAAAGTAATTAAACAATACTATGAGTCTTGCTTCATTGTGAATTAACACACATAACATATTTCTATTTGAAAACTTAATAGCTTTAAAACAACTCAAATTAATGTAAAAATTTAATACAAATAGTTTTTTATTCTAGGTGATTGTGGTAATAAATCGAGAAGAACAATTAAACATTTTAAGAAGTTCATGAAGGTCTTGGAACTTCTAAGAAAGCTGTTGCATTAGCCAGCCACTGAGGCATTAATGCTGTGAGAATGCATATTTCTTCAAGATTTTTTTGGCATTCAATTGTGGAGGATATCACTAAACATGTCGCTCAATGTAAACGATGCCAAAAAACCTCTAACAGAAAACGTGTCACCTGCTTTAAAACCTGTTAAAGTGAAACAACAAGTTATAAAACAAGTTGGAGTAGATTTAATTAAATTACCTGAATCAAATAGATTTAATTATGTAATTGTCCTTATTGATTATTTCTCTAAGTGGACTGAAGCTGAACCTCTTATGAACAAAGCAGCAGTATCAGTAGCAGCCTTTCTTTATAGAGTTATTTGCAGGCATGGTTGCTTTTATATACAAACCAATGACCAAGGTCGTGAATTTGTAAATTTAGTATCCACTGCACTACATGATATGACAGGTGTTCAGCAACGTATAACCTCAGCTTACCATTCACAAGCCAATGGCCTTGTGGAGAGACAGAATCAGACAATTAAGAAAGCAATTATCAAGGTATTAAATGAAAATATTAAAGATTGGGCCTCAGTTTTAGATGGAATCCTTTTTGCTCTACGTGTTAAAGTGCACGATTCAATGGGGTATTTACCATTTTACCTTATGTATAACAGGCAGCCCTGTCTTCCAATTGATGTAAAGTACACAGATATACTCAATGGGGATGGTTGCAATCCTGTATACAATAAAGAGGTTTTACAAAAAGCTTTAAAAATGAAAAGAGGACTTGAAGAAAAAGCTCTGACCAATATTGTTTGTTCACAAAAGAAACAAAAAATAGACTATGATAGAAAGCATGCAACATCATCAAAATATTTTGTTGGTCAAAAAGTACTATTGAGAAATCCTAAAAGAGAAGATGGAAAAGGGAGGAAAATGACTTCTCATGGCTTGGTCCATATGAGATACTTGATATTTTGCAAATTCAACATGTTTATTAAGAAATAGTAACGGAAACAACACATTAAAAAAGAAATACTCTTTACATCATATTAAGCCATTTGTCGAAAAAGAAAGTAAATCAAAATTGTGTAATTTATCTTCTGAGTGTGATAATTTTTTTTTTTTTTTTTTTTTATTATGTTTCACCTCCCCAAGGCCGAGAAGGCCACTGCAGTCGAGGAGGCTACTTTTTAATTGTGGTTACAACCCTCTCTCAACTTTATAACTCCGAAACACGAACCTTGACGAACAAGGCCGCTGCGCGAAGAAACAAGTTGAGCGCGGTACTACCAGGGACGTGGTGGGGTTCGAACTCGGAACTTCTCGCTTATGAGGCGAGCGCTCTACCACTACACCACTACCGCATTAAGATAAATGTCTACATAATTCCAAATTAATGAAACATCCCTTCAAAGAAATTTTCCAAAAAATACCTGAAGAACAAGGGCTCAAAATATTTATAATGCCAGATCTTATTGATGGAGAAGAAAATGATGTACCTTCAAAAATACATGTTTGCAAAGGTGATGGTAACTGTTTTTTTTGAGCAATTTTGTTTTTGTTGACAGGTTCTGAGCGTCAACATATTTACGTGTTCGCAATGTTGTTGTTAAGCACATGAAATCAAAACCTTGCTCCACTCTCTTATCAGGATATTTAGGTGATGATGTGGAAAACTATATTACCAAAAGTGGTATGGCCACAGAGAGTATATGGGTTACAGATGTTGGGATCCTTGGTACTGCAAATCTTATTGGAATTGATATTGCTGTCTGGTCCTTCACTTGACAAAAACTAGCATGGCTGAAATATCCAGCATCAATTAAACTTGACCAACTAACAACTCATAATATTCTTTTAGAAAATAAAAACAATCATTATAATGTTGTTTTGTCACTAAAACCTTTGTAAATAAAAATATGTTTATACTGAGCAAAAATGATGTT